GAATGTGCATAGGGCATTTGTGTGAGTACAAATGTCCTTTCAAATTTATGCCAGAGTGCCCAATAAATAGACATGTCCCAGAGTGCTGAGGGAAGAAGGTGTAGGCAATTTTGGGCAGAATATATGTATCTCTGAACAACCATACAGATTTGTCAAAATCTGTAACCATACAACTAACAATCCAAGCCATAAATCATAATCAACATCCAGAACCTCATGTAGTAACACCTTGCCCTCTAGACAAACTAGTATATTCCAGAAGGGACACAAGTCTAGATCATCACTGGTAAATTGTCTAAATATACAGATTCCTCTGATATTTCTAGTACCTCTGAAGAGAGAAGTTGTGCTTCAGTCTCACAGGTTGACCAGCTATCCAGGACAGATTGTCACTAAATTCAATGACAAATTCACGGACCACAGCATCATCTCTGATTTTTTTTAAACCCACAGGGTCATCTGCAACCACCTTTACCAACTATGGATACACATCGACTTCCAATAACTCCTCTACCCCTTCAGCCACATCCACTTCTATGGAATCCAATGTCACCACAGCTGGTTCAATGTCGTCAAATTCTACAGTCTCATTTTATAGTACAACTTCTTCTAATTCTTTGAGCCCCAGTGGATTTTCTACCACAACTTTGAACACTGGTAACAGCATGAAAACTTTTACTGAATTGACTTCTGTCTTCACAACCAGTCTTGAGTTGTCCAAATCAACTGTTTCCTCTGGGACCTCCTCTACCTGGGAAGATAGTGCTGCATTCACTTCAAGCACTGGTCATCTCTCTACCACCTCTACTGTCTCAGCTCAGACAGATTCAGACCTCACAGAAGGATTGACTGTGTATACAGGCACCCCTGATTTGTCCAAGCTTACAGTTACCTCAGACAGCACGGTTAGCAAAGGGGATGGAATGTCCAGGTTCAACGTAGGGCCTATGGAATCTTTTACATCAGGGACTGCTGACTCCTTTTCTACCCATGTTGATAGTGGACTAGCAACCCCATCCTTTGCTGCAGGGTCCACTTTCTACATTGCCCCCTCCGAGTCCACACCAAAGTTTCTCACCCACTGCTCCCACAGCACAGATGATGCAAGTCCTGCCTCCACATCCAGCCCCGGTGAGCTCTCTATCCCCACTCTAGGTGCTGGCCAAGGGGACTCAACTCTCACAGGGGAGACAACCATCCTCAGCACTGTGCCAGCTTCCTCTGAGCCCCAAGCATCATCCCCATTTTCCCATGCCCCAGGCACTGGGAGTTCTGTGGCTCCATGGAGCCCTGGGCAGGCATCCCCCAGCCCAGCTGTCTCAGGAACACCAGCCACTGGTGTCATCCTGAAACTCACAGACCACACTATCATCTCTGATTCTTCTGCACCCACAGACACATCTGTAACCACCTTTACCAATGAGGATGGGGGTCCTGTGTCCACCTCAAGGCCCAGTGACAGCATGTCCACCTCTAGCAGTTTTGGCCAAACCACCACATCCTTTCCAGTGGCATCCACAGTCTCCACGAACCTCTCTGATTCATCAGATCCTACATTTTCACCTGACACTTCCCATACTGACAGGGCAAGTCCTTCATCCCCTCTGGGTCCAGGTCAACCACCTACCAGCCCTGTGGTGTCTGGACAAACAGCCACCTCAACTTTCAGGAAGGAGACGACTGGCCACTCACAGATTTCAGATCTTTCAAGACCCTCGGCTTCTGCTGAAACGTCCTACATCAAGGCTGAAGGAGGGGCCATGTCCCCTTCAAATCCTGGCCAGCAGTCTTCCTCCTCTGTGATCTTGGGACAGACAGCCACAGGCCTGACCGAGGGGCCCTCTGTCAATACAGATACACCCAGTGGGTCCAAACCTACCAGTACCTCGGATGGCACAGTGACCAAGGACGATGGAAATTCTGCTTCCCTGTCGGGGCCTGCTGAATCATTTACCACTCCCAGGGTTGATCCTCACACAGCCACATCTTTTCCTCCAGGATCGCCTTCCAACACCCCCACCTCAGAGGTGTCTGCCCCAACGTTTTCGCCTCACTCCTCCTACAACACAGATGATGCAAGTCCTGCTTCCCAGTCAGGCCCTAGTGGTGTATCGACTACCACTGTGGTCTCTGAACAATCAGCCATGACCATCACAGGGACGCCAACTGTCCACACCACTTCCGATTCACCTGAGTCACTGGTTTCTTCCGACAGCTCTGGAACCCTAGGCCCTGGGAGTTCTGAAGCTCCATCGAGGCCAGGAGACTTCTCTACCAGCCCAGTTGGTTCAGGACCAACTGTGACCACAGTCACCCAGAAATCCACAGACCACAGCACCATCTCTGATTCTCCTCAACCTCCGGACTCATCGGCATCCCCTTATACCAAGGTTGATGGGAGTCCCGTGTCTACAGCAAGTCCCACTGAATCTTTAGCCACCTCTCCAGGTTTGGGACCATCAGCCTCACCCAGTGCTATGGAGTTTACATTCTCCTCAAGCATCTCAGAGTCACCTGAATACGCAGTGTCTTCCTATACTACAGGCTCTCCAACTCCCTCTCCCCAGCATGGATTTTCCACCACTTCCCTGACCACTGGACACAGTGCTACAGCTTCTACTGGGTTGCCCTCTGTCTTCCCAAGTGTGTCTGATTTGTCCCAAGCCACCATTGCTTCTGAAACCTCCTATACGGTGGATGACGCAAGTGCGGTGCCTCCTTCAAGTCCTGGCCAGCTGTCTACCACACTCTCTGTCTCAGCACAGACATCCTCGGGCCTCGTGGAGGGATCCAGTGCTTATCCAGGCACCCCTCACTCATCAAAACCTACAGTTATTTCAGTCAGCACCATTAGCAGAGGGGATGGAGTTCCTGCTTCCACATCAGGGACTGCTGACTCCTTTTCTACCCATGCTGATGGCAGACAAGCAACCCCATTCCTTGCTGCAGGGTCCACTTTCTACACCGCCCCCTCCGAGCTGTCCACACCAGCGTTTCCCACCCACTCCTCCCACAGCACAGATGATGCAAGTCCTGCCTCCACATCCAGCCCCAGTGAGCTCTCTATCCCCACTCTGGGTCCTGGCCAAGCGGACTCAACTCTCACAGGGGAGACAACCATCCTCGGCACTGTGCCAACTTCATCTGAGCCCCCAGCATCATCCCCGGTTTCCCATGCCCCAGGCACTGGGAGTTCTGGGTCTTCGTGGAGCCCAGGGGAGGCATCCCCCAGCCCAGCTGTCTCAGGAATAACTTCCAGTACAGTCCCCTTCAAGCCCACTGAGTACAGTATCCTGCCTGGTTTTTCTCAACCCACAGGCTCATCTGCAACCACCTTTACCAAAGAGGATAGAAGTTCTGTGTCCACATCAAGGTCTATCGAACCTTTTACCATTTCTGTTGGTGATGATCAAAAAACTTTTCCTCCTGGATCCACCTTGAATACAATAATCTCACCGGTGCCTACAGCTACATCTTCTTTCCACTCTTCCTACAGCACAGACAAGACTAGTCCTGGTTTCCCATCAAGCCCTAGTGAGCTCACTCACCCAAGTCTATTTTCTGAAGTAACCACACTGACTGTCACAGAGGAGTCAATTGTGTATACCAGTGTTTCTGATTTGTCCATATCTACTGTTTACTCTGAATCTTCTTTTACCAAATTTGAAGGAAGTTCAGCATCCTCTTCAGGTTCTGGCCGCCTTTCTACCACCACAGGTATCTCACAACATACATCCTTAAGTCTAAGTGATGGGTCTACTGTCTATACAGGCACCCCTGATTTGTCCATACCTACAGTGATTTTGGACACGACTCTTTCCAAAGAGAGCACAAGTTCTGCTTCTACTTCAAGTTCAGGTGAAACTTTTCCCTCTACAGGTGGATATCAAGAAACACCTACATCCTTTACCATGGAATCAACTGTCTCCACAATCCTCTCAGATTCATCAAATCCAACAGTTCCACATGATACCTTCTATACTACTCATAATGCAAGTCCTTCTTCCTCATCTGGTCCTGGTGAATTAATTTCCACTACTCTGGTCTCTGGGCAAACAAGCGCATCCCTTCCTGAAGCATCCACTGTCCCCACAACCATGTCTGATTTGTCTCATTCCACTAATTCAGTGGTTACCTCCTCCACCACTGTCAAGCAAAGTTTTATTTCCTCATCAAGCTCTGCTGAATCATCCGCTACCACCTCGGTCTCTGGACAAACAGCCACAATTTTCATGGGAAAGCCAACTGTCTACACCATTTCTGATTTGTCTGGTTCTACAGTTTCTGTTGATACCTCCTCTACCATCCCTATTGGGGGTCCTGCACCCTCATCAAGTTCTAGCTTGTTGCCTTCCACTACCATCACAACCATCACTGAGGAATCCAGTGTCTTCACCACTACCACTTATTCCTCCAAAACAACTGATTCATCTGATGCCCCCCAAACCACTGAAGATCTTAGTCCATTATCTTCATCAAGCCCCATCCATTCCTCTTCACCCCCAGCCACCTCTGGACAAATGCCCACCACCTTGGATGAGAATTCCACTTTCTTCATCACCGATAGTGTTTCTGCCAAACCAATGATTTCTACTTCCATCCCCTCTGCCACGGACAGCCCTAGTCCTGCATCCCCATCAGCTCTAACTTTCTCCTCTACAACTAGACTTATATCCAGACCAACAGCTACCACCCTCAGTGGAGGATCTACTATCTTTCAAAGCAGTGCAGGGATACCAAATGCAACAACATCATCTAACAGCTCCCAAACCCTAGTCCCTGGTGCTTCTTCTTCAGCCTCACCTATCCCTGGCTTCTCCTCCAGGCCAGTCCCTGACTCTTCTTCAGCCTTTACAACTTCTTCTGGTTTTTCTCCTCCTCTGTTCTCCACTCCGCCTGGCTCTACCCATGCTCCAGTCCCTGGGTTCACTACCTCTTCAACCCTCCATCCCCTGTTCACTAGCACACACACAACTGTGAGGACGACCCAGTCTTCAGCTATGACACCAAGTAAGTCTTTTCGTATGTCACTCTGTGTGCCTCTCCTGTCCATCTTCTCTCATCAACTAATCAGCTTTGATTTGACCTCTTTGTGGTCTTGTTCCACCCTTCCATTGCCTTCTAGTTGTCAATCAATATCATCCACAGGAATGGTTATTGTTTTTTCTTTTCTTTTCTCTTTTGATTTGTAGGGCTTTTGCTTTCTTCACTCATCCCCTCTCATCTTTTGTTTCCTTCTTCCTCATTGTCCCTCCTTCTTCCCCTCCCCCTTGGGCTTGAGGTGGTGGCAGAGGGTTCCATCCTCCTCTTTCAGTGTAATGCCTGAATGATGGGTACTGGAATGGGAGCCAGTATTTTTGTCCTTTGGGCTTCCACGGTGACTGATGTGAATTCTACCCCTTCACAGGGCAGTGTCAGAATGGGACCATATGGAACGGAGAAGAGTGTGTCTGTGTCCAAGGCTTCTTTGGTTACCAGTGCAAGTCCCTTAGGGACTCCTTCCTCCTAGGTAATGAACTTTTCTGAGACCTGCAGATTGTCCCTATGCTCCTTAACCACTTAAATCGGAAGGCAAAGCTGGAAGGATTATCTGCTACCACTATCTCATTGTGCAGGTGGATGAGAAAATATGACATTTACCTAGACCCAAATGCTTAGGTAGAACACAGACCTTCTGACTCCTTCAGGGCTCTTTTCACTAGCTCCTCTGCCCCTTGGATCAAGATGTTTCTAACCCAGCCTTTTCTGGAGCCCTCCGCTTAGCTCTCTCTGGGTCATGATCCTGACCACTAACGCCTCATGGTGTTCAGAGACAAAGGGCAGAAGTTTCAGTGACTCCTACTTGTCTCCTGGATTTCCATCCACTCTCCTACCCACTTTCTCTACCTCCATGAGACCAGCAGGCAGAGAATTAACCAATCCCAGAAGACATTATTGGGAGGTTGTTATCTCATGCATAATATGGCTATTCCCACAGAAATCCCGGAAAAATTCAATGCCACTTTAGGTGTGACAGTGAAAGTGACTAATAGGAATTTCACAAAAGCCCTGAATAACATATCCTCCCCGGTATACTGGAATTTCACTCAACTATTCGAGAGTCAGGTAAGAGAAGGAAAATCCCAGATTCCTCAATGTGGATGTCCAATGTCCAATGTCACTGAGGATACAGGGGCTCATTCTGACTGACTTTGGAGTTTCTCAGCCCATGGATCCCTTCAGTCTTCTCAAGTCCTGGGTGGGAGATCCTCTGAGAGCCCCCTTCCTTGAGTATCACCTCACCCACATCCTGGGGGAGGGAGCATCCCTATACCTATACTTTTCCTTCCTTCTTTTCTATGAGCTAATTCCATGGGTTCCCTGGGGGAAGGGGGCCCTGGGGCTGCCTCTGAGACAGGGAACAGGGGCTGTTGCATGCTCCAAGCCTGTATGAGCTCAGCTACCTCATTTATTTCAGATGGATAAAGCTTACATGAGCAAAGACTTTCCCCAGTACAGAGGCGTGATCATTAGGAGACTGTTGTGAGTATGTGTGGGGGGGTCAGATTTATAGACTGTGGGAAGCCCCCTCTCTCTGCTCTCTTGTCTTCTCCCATCTTGAATGAGTATCAGTACCTAGCTGGACCAGAAGGACGCCCAGCCCACAGGCAATACCAGAAGTTTCTGAGCCATTCATTTATCCTTCATCCATTCAACAAGCTTGTACTGAAAGCCTACCTACCCTGTGCTAGGTGCAGGGAACACAATGGTCCTGGTTTTCATGGAGCAAAGAGTGGCAGAACACAGCAAAATGGCTGTGCAATATGGTTAGAGTTAATGGTAAGAGACACACAGGGTGCAATGGGAGAGGTTGAGTGCAAGCTGGTGAGGTGGAGGAAAATCTTTCTGGAAGAAATGACAGGTAAGCTGAGGCTAGAATCACGAGGAGGAACAAGCCAGGTGGAGGGAATTGATGATGAGGAGCCTAGAGGTGAGAGAGAGGAGGGTAGATTCCAGGAACATAAAGAACAGTTGGCAGCTTGAAATCATGGTGGGAGAGGAGGTGGAAAGATGACCCGTACCAAGTTACTTAATCTTTAAGCATCAGTAGTTTTGGCCCACATGGGAAGGTATCTGATTTGCACTACAGACAGCTCAGTCTGGCTGCAGGACTGAGAATGCATGGACAGGGGATGGAGATTATAGTGACCTGGACCAGAGAGGTGAAAATGCAGAAGAAAAATAGTCCAGTGTGAAAGGTCTTTAGGAAGCAAGACCAACGGATCATAGGGATTTGATGGGTGTTTGGAGAGAAGGAGGGATGACACCAGATTTCTGGGCCACTAGGGGTGTGGAGTGCCCTTTGTTGAGATGAGGAAGGTTAAGAAGGAGGGAGATGGGAAAGAAGATGATAAGTGGGCTGTGTGGAGTCTCAAGTGCCCAGGGCCCAGCCACATTGAATGGCTGAGTAATGGAGCGGCATGTGGTGGAACATGTAATAGAAAGTATCTGCATCAGAGACACTGGAAGAAGGTTTCCCTGGATAGAAGTTGCTGGAAGCCCTGGGAGTAGACCAGATGGCCTGGGGATGGTCACAGCACAGGGACCAACATTTCCCAGGAAAGAAGCATGGGAAGCACCAGCATCTAAGGGACAGGGAGGAGAAGCAGAGCGGCAAGATGTAGACAGAAGTGTGGGAAGGGAGCCTGGAGGGTGTCTTGTCCCAGCAGGGAAAGAGGGAGATCTTGTCAAGGGCCGGTGGGGTTCCATGCCTCAGCGTCTTCTACCCCACCCTCACCCCCTGCCCAGTACCAGCGCTTACTTCCATCTCCATTTTGGCACAAGGTTTTGTTAGTTTTTGTCCTCCTGTGTCCTGTTCCTGACTTCTCTGTCACAATGGCTGTGACTGGTGACAGACCTTGTCTTAAGATCTCTCAGTGCCCAATTGGCCACCTAACAAGGAGCTTCTGGGTTGGAATCTTGTATTTCTAAAGCGACCTCATGTTTCTTCATTTCTAAAAGCATGCTTATTTGGTTTTCAAAATATAATCCAACAGACTCTATTTAAAATTTTTAATTTAAAATATTTTTTATTGTGGTAAAATACCCATAACATAAAGTTTGCCATTAACCATCAAATGAATCATTTTAAGTGTATAGTTCAATGACATTAAGTACATTCACATTGTTGTGCAACCACCACCACAGTCCATCTCCAGAACTTTCTCATCTTCCCAAACTGAAACTCTGTACCCTTTAAACAATAACTCTCAATTCCCCCTCAAACCACCTTGGGCAACCCCCATTCTATGTTCTGTCTCTATGAACTGGATGACTCTAGACACTTCATATCAGGACTCACGTAAATACTCATACAGGATTTGTCCTCTTGTGACTGGCTTATTTCACTTAACACAATGTCCTTAAGGTTCATCCACATTGTAGTATGTGTCAAAATTTTCTTCTTTTGTAAGATTGAATACATTGCATTGTACTGTATACCACATTTTGTCTGTCCGTTCATCCATCAATGGATGCTTACTTAGTTTGCTTCCACCTTTTAGCTATTGTGAATAATGCTGCTGTGAACACGGGTGTACAAATATGTCCTCAAATCCCTGCTTTCAGTTCTTTTGGTCATATGGTAATTCTATTTTTAAGTTTTTAGGGAACTGCCTTGCTGTTTTCCACAGTGGTTGTACCATTTGACATTCCCACCAACAGTGCCCAAGGGTTCGATCTTGCCACATCTTCACCCAAGAGCCTTCCATTTTTAGGAATGAATTTCACCCAATGGCATTTATTGTGATCACTGATATTTTGGAATCTTAGATCGTTTGACCCTGCAGCTTCCCTCCAGGATATTAACTGTTGGAGGGAAGAGTCTCTAGTCTGTCCTGCCTCTGTGTCACATAGCTAATTGTCTCTCATCACCCTTCTTGCTTTGTGAGCCCCACTTTCTGGAAGGGTGGGAGACCCAAGGTGACTAATGAATCACCGAGTTCTGGTTCTAGGAATGGCAGTGTTGTGGTGGAACATGATGTCGTTATGGAGGCAAACTACACTTCAGATTACCAGAAACTGTTTGAAAACCTCACTAAAATCATAAAGGTCAAGATTATGAATGAGACCAAAAGGCTATCTGGTGATTCTGAAGTGTGCAGAGGTAGGCCCACACAAAACCCCTTGATGGAGGTGGGGAAAGGATGGGAGGGGTCCCATAGGGTGGTCTCAGCCTCTCCCCACCCTGCATCTCTCCTCTTTTCTGGAACTCCAGAGGCCTCCCTATAGGGGTCCTGAAGCCAGGCCTGGGTGCCTTCCCCAGACTCTCCAGTGCCCCCAGCAGCTTTTCCCAGTCTCGGGCTCAGGTTGTCCCCAGCCCTAATGTCCCCATCTGAGCCTGCTTACAGGCCCAGCCGCACCTAGGGATGGGCCAAGACCCTAGTAGAGCAGAGGGCAGTGTTTATGTCTTGTTCTTTTCCACCATGCTTAGCAGCCTCCTCACCTCTGTGTTACGATGAGGAAGCCACTATTGTGAGCAAGACCGTGAAGCTGGGCTTTGACCTGCAGGGTGAGCAGCTCCATAGGGTGGTGGGCGTTGGTGGGGGGGCAGGGTGTGGGCAGTAAACGTGGGGGCTGGGGGCACTTTAACCAGGCTGATGCTTGCTGCCCACCCTTCACCCCCAGAGCAATGCACTCAGAAGGCCGCGAAGGACTATGCCCAGTTCTACTATGTGGATGAACTGGATGGGAAGCTGGCCTGTGTGACCAAGTGCACCTCGGGGACAAAGTTGCAACTGAACTGTCATGAGGGTGAATGTCAGCTGCAACGAAGAGGTCCCCGCTGCCTGTGAGTGTCCAGCCCCCCTAAGGCCAGTGCCCACTCTCTCTGGTGGTAGGACTGCACTCTCCACCACAGTCATGGAGCAGGGGTGAGGAGGGGGAGGCAGAGGGGGTCAGGCAGAGCTCACAAGGTGCCTCCTCTCCCATCATCCCTCTTTGTTCTACCTGGGTGTCTCTTCACCCCTCGCCCCCATCAGAGGGAGGAGGGGGTGCAGGTTACAGATGTGGGCATCCTAAGAGTTGCGCGAGCCCCTTCCCAAAAAAGTTCCAGTTACCAATTTCCAAATCTATATCTATAGATCGCTGTCTTTCCTTTTCCTTTCACTATCCTAGCCACAATGCTATTATCACCTCTAGCTACAGCTGGGGCACTAAGTTCAGGAGAGCACAAACTAAAGCATAGAATATAAAATTGGTAACAGGCCAGTCAGGGTGCCAGCTAGAGATTAGATGGGTGGACATCAAGTGTCTGGGACGAGGCATCCAACACTCAGATTCTGAAGCCTGCTCTGTAGTAGGGGACCCCCCACCCCCTCACCGCCCCTTAAGTGCTAGGGAGCCTCCTAACGTGGGTCCCTCCTAACCAGTGCCTGCCCCCTTGGAGGGAGAGCCAGTTTCCTGTGCTTTGGCATTCATCTTTTTTTTTCTTTTGGGAGAGTGGGTGTGAGGGATGCTAGTGGATTGGCCTGATCTTGCCTGTGTCCCCAGATGCCCGACCTCGGACACGCACTGGTACTGGGGAGAGACTTGTGCCTTGAGCACCAGCAAGAGCCTGGTGTACGGGAGTGTGGGAGCTGTGGGAGCAGTGCTGGTGGTCACGGTGGTGGTCCTCACCGTCTCCCTCTGCCGATCCCAGAGAAAACTGCACAGGTGAGCTGCTGGGGCTGGGCCCAGAGATGGGGGACCACAGTTGGAACATCCCAAGGCTCTGCTCCTTCCAGCTCAGCATTCGGAGGCCTGATGGCAACCCAGCCCCTCTCAGCTCTGGGTAACAGCAAAAGGCAGCCTGCTGATCTGATCTGATCTGTTTGGCAGAGAAATGCATCAAAAAACTTGGGTCCTGAAATTGGATTCTGTAAAGACATTACTTGGTGTCAACACTTTGGCTGCCACAGAGCCACACTGTTGCTCCAGGACACCGGGGATGAGCTGTCCAGCGTCGCTCTCCCAGCTGTAAAATGGGGGAAAATCTGAGAAGGTTGAGGACCAGTGGGCACAGCACCTTGGACTGTCAGAGGGAGTTGCTCTGGGCCTGGTCCAATGCTCCCATCTCATAGATAAGGGAAGGAGGCCCACTGAGGGAAGGGCAGGCAGGTCACAGTGATGTTTTATTTTCTGCTACTGCCCTGGGGAGAGGCCCTTCCCTGACCCAGGGCTTGGCCGTGACAGCCTTTTCCAGAAGCCAAGGGTTAGGGCCCTCTAGGACCCCTCCTCCACCTCCCTGCCCCCAGCTGTCAACGGCGTTTCTGTTGGCAGGGAAGAATACAATTTGTCTCCAGAGTGGCACGGAGAAGATGTTCCCGGCAGCTTCCAGAACATAGGCATCTGGGAAGGTACTTCTCACTGGGAGCAAGCTGGTGGGTCAAGAAAGGCCGAGAAAATGCTGTGGCCAGACTCGGTGTGGCCGTGGGTGCTAGCTGGCTTTGTGTGTGCTGTGGATGCCGGGCTCTGCCGGCTTCTCTGTGGCCTCCTGACCCCGAGCCCCCACGCAGCCCCTGCCGAGCCTCGTCTTTTCTCAGCTCCTCTCTATCACTCCCGTCTGCATGTGGCCCACGCTCACCGTTTCCCTCTTCCATGCCAGACTGTACCACTGTCTGGAAGGTTCCCCTTGCTGGGGGCTCTGCCTGTCCCAATCCCGCTCTGTTTCCAAGATCTGGTTCAAATACTGCCCCTCCTTAGAGCCTCCCGTGTGTTCGGGCTCTTCTGATTCCCAGCTGGCGTGGAAAACCTCCATGTCACATCTGCTCTGATCTCTCGCTGAACGGAGATGAACGATCTCTGTCCCCCACCAGCCCTGCCCTGGGGCAGGTTCTGCCCTACCAGTTCCTCCTGGCAAACACCACGGAGGGGCTACAGGCATGGCTGAGAGCCGGATCCTGCCCCCAGAGAGCGGCCCCTGTGAGAGCATCAGATGCACACACAGTTAGTGGGAGGACAGAACCATGCCCCGGGCTCCAGGGGCATAGAAGGGTGCCCGAACCAGCCAGGGTGGGATGGGATCAGAAAAGACTGCAGAGGGGGACATCACCTGAGCCTGTCTGCAGGCTGGGGCAGGGCTGAGAGCTGGTGAGTAAGCCGTGTGCTTCCTGCTTCCAGAAACACAGATCCCAGGGAGGTCACGGAGGTCTCTGTGGGCTGTGATGGGGGGGGACACACTGGAGGGGCTTTAAGAGAGGGAGGCCAGACATGCATTTTGAGCAGCTCACTCAGGTGGACTTGAGGGGGACCTCAAGTGGGGAGACCAAGGAGAAGGCTCTGCAGTCATGCAGGGGACGGAGGATGAGGCTGAGTAGCGGTAGTGAGGATGGGAGGAGTGGACAGACCCCAGGGAGCTGGGTGGGGCTTGTCCCTCACAGGCTGGGGAAGGGAGAAGGCCCGGATGTGGGGGGGCACTACCTGGAGGGGGCAGAGGCAGCAGGTGGGGGACACAGCTGAGTACGGGGAGGGGTGTTGGCCAGTGGGCAGCTGGGAGTCGTCAGGGAGCACGCAGGCAGGGGAGAGAGCAGGGTGAAGGGCAGAGTCCCTGGGACAACCTTGGAGGAAGCAGAGAAGAAACGGTCATGGAGGCTGAGGAGGGGGGAATGTGCAGGACTCGGAAAATGGCTGCTGAAAACACGCCAGCTACAAGAGAAGATTCTGGGTATAGTTTCTGCTTGCCGCAGTTCCCGTTGCTGGAGGGAGGGTGTGCTGGTGACCCCTGAGCAGTGCCTTCCTCCTGTTCCACCCTCGCCCAGGTCACCCCCAAGCCTGCCCATGGCCATGACTTTTGACCCCGAGGCACGCAAGGGGCTGTGGTTCGCTCCTGTCCTCTCGTCACACCGGGCCAGTTCCCCGGGCACGCTCCGGAGCTACCTCATAGACTAGCTGCAGTCGTGGGAGGATGGATGGGCAGTGGGAGATACTTTCGGGAAAATATGGGACTGATTCTTCAAACCTGTCCCTTTTACTGGAAAAGGCCCCCGTCTGTGTCTCTCCAGCCTCCCCCAGGCTCACTCAGCCTGGCCCCTCTTTCTGCAGGTGAGAATCTGAAGGAGGACCCATTCAGCCTTAAAAACATCTACAGCCAGTTTCGGCCCTCCCTAGAGAATGTTGACCCTACCACAGAGGTGACTGGGAGCCCCTCCCCGGCTAGGAGCTGTTCCCTTCCCCCCAGCCATGCCACCCACCACCCTGGGGCTGCCTGGGGAGGGTGGGCACTCTTGGTCTGGAGACAGCTAACTTCCATGGGATATGGCCATTGCTGAAGGGCCCCCATTGGCCTCACCTCCTCTCTCCACGCCCTCCCCCCCAGCTCCACATCCAGAGGCCCACGGTGGTGACAACTGCTCAGTAAGCGAGGCAGGGGCTTCTGCCCCTCATCCAGATTTGGACAAGACAGCAGCAGACAGAGAGCCCACCACAGTGCTACTCCCCCACCTCCCCCGTTGGTCAAAAGGAAACAGACGTCAGAGCCCAAGGTGGTCCTGCTCAGGCTGGTGGGCTTGGCCGGGCCCCTGCTGTGCGCCCGCCTCTCCTCCATCGCCCTCTATCCAGGAGCCCCAGGGCTGCCCAGACACCCTAACATCTTTGCTCCATTGACTCACCACTCTGGAATTTGCCTCCCAATAAAAGAGCAAGGTTTAAAGTACAGAGCTGTGAGTGGTTTCTTTTTCTCTCCCTGTGGGGGCCTGGCTCCCCACCTGGGGCTCCAGGGAGCCCTTCTTGGGGAGAGCACTCCTCCCAGGATTAGATGCCAAATCTGGACATGGGACACTCACCACTCTCAGCCCCTTCCTGTGACCGCATGTCGAGCAAGGAACATGGACCCCCTTCTGCTCCAGGCCGGGGCAGGATCAGGCCCACCTCTGCCTGAGGTCACCGTGGAAGATGAGCCTGGGATCAGACCTTGGGGGCCTCAGACCCAGGGAGTGAGGAGTGGGGGCCCAGAGAAGGCTAAGGAGTGAGCACTCAGCTTTGCTGACCTTGGGCGGGGGCAAGGTGCCTCCGGATGGCCATGGAAGCTTGTGCCCACCTGTGAACTCAGAGATAGATCTGTGGGCCCATAGATCCGAGAAATCAGCCATCCCAGAGCTGGGCACTGGCCCAGGTGTGGCCACGATTTGCATCCTGGTGGGGTACACACAGGGCCAGTAAAGAGAGCTTGACACGAAGGGAGGGGAGTGTCCTTACCGGAGGCTGGAATTGAACAACAGGCGCCCTTCTCCTCTGGGGTTCAGGCCCAGCTGCTTCTCCTCCACCCTCTGAATCCCTCCAGGGGTCTTCTCCGTTCTCCCAGGCTGCTCAGGCCCCTGTGCCTGCCCCTCTATTGGGGTGAAAATTCTGATGGCCCGCGTGCTTGTTGTGTGCTGCCTGGAGAGGGCAGGGCTCCCCTCCCTCTGCCCTTTGGCCTGAAATAAAATCCGCACCCCCCCTCCCTCAGCATGAGAGAAGCTCATTCACTGACTCAGGTGGGCTGGCCCCGGTTCTCCAGTGTCTCAGGGATCAAAGGGCTCTGGGGCCCATTTATTAGTGGGGTTCCTTGGCTGACATTCATTTTGCTCATTCTGGCAAGGGTGAACAGCAGGTGCACTGCCCTCTGAGCTCTGATGTTGAGACTGGTGACCAGGATGCTCTGCCTGCTGCCCCTTGTCCTTCAGCTCCTGTCCCGCCCTGTGGCTGCTGCGCACGGTGAGTGAACCCCGGCCTTGCCTCCTCTCCTGGGGTCTGCCCAGGCCCGAGGGAAGGCTGCTTCCTGGGGGGCACAGGTGGGGGTATCCTCTGCCTGGAGCTCAGCCTCGTGCCCCTCACCTTCTCCTTCCCTTCCCGGCTACATGTGGTTTTGGGGTGCACCCAGGTTAGTCTCTCTGAGCCTGCTTCCTCCCCAAAACGAGACAAGAGGCGAGGCTTGCCAGGGCCGGAGGATTCGATGCAATACTCCCCGCACGGCCCCTGGCATATGGCAGATAGATGCTCGGCTGATGTTAGGGTCTGTCCTTACCCCTTGGATGTGCCCCCCAACCGCCTGGTCGCCTCCCACCAAATGTCCGGGCCTTCTTGTCATGACGGGACAAATGCTGGAAGTCTCTGCTCTCACTCTCATCCCGGTCATTTCTGCATCACCCCACGCCTGCCTTGTGCCCCGAGGATGTCCCAGGGGCTGTCAGGCATCCCAGTACCAGGAAAGGGGCCACTGCTGTAGCCAGATGGGCACAAGGTGGGGCTTTGGGAGCCCCAGATTCTCATCCTGCGGTGAAAGAGCTCCGTGCCAGGGGGCAACTCAGTTAATCTCAGGCCTCAGTGTCTTCCCTTAAAGGACATGGGTTGGGCCCACTCGGGGTTCCATGGCCAAGGGGACTGGGCTCAGGTTGGCAGAGGGTGACGGGGGTGCTGATCAGACCCTTCAGGAGTTCCCTCTGCCACTCGCCTGTCCCCAGAGGGAGAGGGAGGGGAAAAGCCAGGAACCAAACTGCCAGCCTCAGGTTCTCCCTCCCTGAGACGTCCTCCTGGGATGGCCTGGCTGGGGTGGGAAGGGGGCTTGGAGGCAAAAGTGGCGGGGGGGGTGGCTGATGCTGAGCATGTAGATGGCATTCAAGTTGCCATGTCCTGGGCTTTGTCTTGCCCTGAGCTCACTACACCAGGAGCAGTAGGGGGGCTCCTGGTGCTCTGGCCCCAGGCCTTGGGCAGCTCTTCTCCAAAGAGGGAATGGGGTGGGAGCGGGGGAGAAAGTAGCTGGGAGCATAATCCTGGAGCCTGTGGCCTCTTTGGCCCAAACCCACCCACAAAAGGTAGGGCCTTCTCTAGGGACCAGCCTGCTGGCTGATGGGGCAAATGAAGAGGATGGGAGGAGGAAGGGGGGGCAGCAGTCTGGGGCAGGGTGGGGCAGCGCTTGGCTTGGTCTAAAGGGCTGGTTCACTGACCTGAACCTTACTATGACTTGGCACAGACTCCCAATGTCACAGCACCCGGAGCTGTCACCTTATTAGTAATAAGAATGACACCCTCAGAAGGATGAATACCTACCATTTACATCGACCTGGATGGAACTAGAGGTTATTATGCTAAGTGAAATGAGTCAATCAGAGAAAGACAATTATGATATGATCTCACTCATATGTGGAATATAAGAAATAGCGCAGAGGATCATAGGGGAAGGAAGGGAAAATTGAATAGGAAGAAATCCGAGAAGGAGACAAACCATGACAGACTCTTGACTCTGGGAAACAAACTGAGGTTTGCGGAAGGGAGGGGGGTGGGCGGATGGGGTAACCGGGTGATGGGCATTAAGGAGGGCACGTGATGTGATGAGCACTGGTTGTTATACACAACTAATGAACACAACATCAAAAACTAATGCTGTATTATATGTTGGCTAAATGAATTAAAAAAAAAAAAAAGTGACACCCTCTTCCCAGGCACTGTCTATGCCGTCCAGATTCTTAGTGACTTACCTCTAATAATGTCATTTTAGGCACCGTGATGTGCCTTGGTTGGGGAAGATGTTTCCAGCTCCCTCTCGTTCCTCCCCCCGCCCCCTCCTGGCCTCTCCCACATTCTGCACGCTATGGCTCATTGCATCTCTAGCCTCGGTCGCCCCCTCAGTGAAATGGAGCCTCTTTGCTCCCGCTCTCTAGGATTCTGTGGTCCCCTTTCTGCGTCGGGCGTCAGCTGGTCTGTAGAGCTTTGGCATCTGACTCTCCCATGTGTCCTCTCTGGGGACCCAGAGCCACATCCCTTCTCAGGCTACTGGGCTGGGGATGCCTGAGTGGGGCGTGGGCCGCAAGGAAGAGCCTGGTGGACTTCACCTGGCTCTTCCTGGCAGGCACACCCTCCCATGGCCACGGCCCCTCCTTCCAATACACCCTGATTATATTGCTTTATCAGCGAAACACAACATCCTGGGCCCAGTTTGGTCCTGTCCTGCTGTGACAAGTGCCTCTCACCTCCCACACCCAGCACAAATGTGTCAGGCTTGACTGCTCTGTCACCTCCCTCTGCCCTCTCTCCCACTCCCCATCTTAAGTGCCTTCACCCACCCACGTCCTCATCATCCTAATGTCAGCCTCCTGAGGAAGTCTAAGGAACATACACTCTAGAGGCTACCTTCCCCCCCTCCTCCGTCAACAAGGTCTACCTCCTCTGAGGAGCCTTCCTGGGGGTCACCACAGACTTCTCTCCCCTTGAACCCATTGCTGCAACTACAAGAGAATGGAAAGAGTCTCACTCCCTGGACCACCATAATAAATTAGCACAACCCAAGTGGCTTAGAACAACAGGAAAAATCTTGTCTCACGGTTCTGGATGCCAGAAGTCCAAAACCAAGGTGTCAGCAGGTGTGGTGGGGAAGGAAGGATCTGTCCAGGCCTCTCCCCTGGCATCTGGTAGCTGCTGCCAAACTTGGCATTCCTTGCCTTGCAAGCGCATCATCTGTGCCTTCATCTTTCCCTGGGGTTCTCCGTGTGCGCATGTTCCTGTGTCCAAACTTCCCTTCTTATAAGGACACCGGTTGTTTTGGATCAGGGCCCACTCTACTCCAGTGGTGACCTCATCTTATGTAATTACATCTGCAACAACCCTACTTCCGGATGTCATGTTCTGTGGTCCCAGGGGTTAGGACTTTCCCATACGAATCTGGGGAGGGGGACACAATCCAACCCCTCACAGGGCCCCCGGGGGGTGGTTAAAGCACAGAAGTAACCCTACACATGTGTTATGAAGGGTTCCCTCTAGCTGCGGTGTGTAGGATTGCTTGGCTTGGAGGTCCGGGGGAGAAGTGGGGAGATGGGGCAGGAGGCTGGGTGAGAGTCCACAGCAGCGCTGACCCGGTGGTTTCGGGAGCCACGGCAAGAAGTGGATACGTCCGGGATACCAGCAGGCCTGGCTGATGGCGCAGATGTGGGAGGCGAGAGGAAAGAGAAGCAGAGTGCCTTCCAAGGGGCTGGGCTTCAGCAATCGGTAGAAGGCTGCTTGCTCCGAGGGGTCTAGCAAAGAACTCAGGAGAGTTTTGGACAGAGTCTGGGACGTCTACTTAATATCACCTGAAGATGTCAAGTCAAAATGGAAATCAGCTTGCCATTGGGGGTGGGGGGAGGCAGAGCAAGAGACACACACGGTGTGGAGGGCTGTATTTCCTAGGACTGAAGCAAGATCTTCCTGAGTTCTCTGTCCCATGCCCTGAGAATTACAGGTTTTTCCAGTTTGGCTGGTGGGAACAGCACTGCTCCCATCCCTACATGAAAGCCAGGTCTCCTTGCTTCTAATCTTTTCCAGTGGCACTTCTCAGATCTTGGGGAGATATTTCATAAGCATCCTCTGATCAGTAGATTGCATGGTGGATACCCAGGGGCCCCTCTGTGC